CGAGCAAATGCCATCACCCCAGCATCGGCGCCGGTAACAGAACCGAGTGCGCCACAAGGCCAACAGGAGAGTAAGGCTGTGAGCCTGACACCATCGCTCAGGGCGAAGAAGGACAAGGGAGAAGAACAAGACTAAGGGCATCACGAAGAAGAAGGAATCAATGAATGATCCGAGGACAAGAATGCCCGCAAGCGCATTGACCCGGAAGCGGAGGACCTGCGCCGAGCTGTAGTTGGAGAAGCAGCTAGCGCGAGGCCGAAAGTAATAGCCACGATCCCGCCAAGAGGCAGAGAGGTGACCTATGGACAGATGAGGTCAGGACCTCGAGCAACTGAACCAACACCAGAGAGGTGAGAGACCTCGGAGTCTTTGTTCGAGTTGGTGAAGGCATTAAGCAATCAGGTGACTACTCTGACCAGCGAGTTGAGGGAGCTCAAGAAGAAGAGCCGCTCACGAAGCCCTAAGAGGGGAAGAGCTTCATCAAAGGAGAGTTCAATGAGGAGCAGGCGCAGCAGGCCCCGACAGAGCAAGTATGACAAGGAGTCGAGGAGCCGATCACCAATCACAAGAAGAGGACCGAGCGCCAGCATGAGCAGCAGCTATGGGCACCGTGGGTATGGCGCTGCACCGAAGCAAGCAGCAACACCAAGGAGGACATCCCCATTGACGCCGAAATCACCAGGGTATTCACCGCCAGCGCACTTGCTGGAGAACAGAGTGAAATTGGAACCAGCCGTGCCGGCAAGGCCAGAACCTGAGGTTGCAGGAACAGAAAGGCCGAATGAGCCTGAAGTCAGCGCAAGGCGTGATCAGGAAGCGCCAGCAGGGCCAGTTGAGCCTGCAGAACCTGTGCTTCACGAGGCAACAGACCTGGTCGGGGACATTGACCCTGAGGAGCGGGAGGCATCCAACAAGTTTTCAGAAAAGAGCCTACTTGTTGGAGGACCACTACAACGTGAGAGCACAACTCCAACAAGTCCAAAGGTCATGGCTAGAGAACCTGGTGGACGGCCTCAAACATGACAAGACAGGCTGTTATGGCCCATATAAGCCCAGAAAGGGCGAGAAGCCAGACCGCGAGATGAACAGGAAGAACCGGATATGGCACATCCCGGGTGCAGACCCAGGCGGGGATGACGAATGGCAGAAGACGGTGATCCGCCCAGTGGACGGCAGTGAGGACAGTTGGAGCCTACTGGCACAGGATATCCCGGCAGCAACACATGTGCACGTGCCATCAGACAATGTCGTTGTGGTTTTGTGCCAGCCAGCACCAACGCGTCCATGGGAACCTCCGAAAGCACCATCACGAAGCCTGTCCACATTGAGTTCGTCTTCCGTGTTGACGGGACTTGCCGCAGTGCGCAAAAGAGAGCCCGATGATGTGCATGATCCAAAGAGAGCCACCATGTCAAGGGGGCAGAAAAGAGACTTCATTGCAGGCATCAAGGCAATGAATAGCCATGATGCAAACTTGAGGATAGCATTAGGCAAGGGGGATTTGCCACTAATCACCCCGGTGCACACACTCTTCGTCACATCAGTGGAGAAGTTTGGCAGAATTGATGGAGTGAAGTTTCTGTGCGTTGGAAAGGACGCATCCCGTATTGGCTATGAGTTCCTTGACGAGGTGAAGCAGGCACTGAATCAGCATGGCGCGTGCACTGCGGTGGTCGCTGTTGAATACACGAACAGTGACACATCGATAGGGCATTCAGAGGTTATGGACATCGTGGCATCACATTGTGAGCATGTTGGAGGAAGATATCTCGAAATAGATGTAGCTGATACATGCAGATGGAAGCAGCATGCTATATATACCTATGTACCCCGAAGTGTGCAGAGGGGACGTAGGCTTTCTCACAAATGAGAGTGAGCTTGGGAGTGCATTTGAGGCATGGATGCAGATGAGCTACCCGCTTTTTTGACCCTAGGACCATTGAGGATGTCTGGACGAATGAGTTCCTGGAATGGCTGGAGCAGAAGGCACATGAAACGGCAGTTCATGACATGCTGTCAGTTGCATTTCCTGTTGCTGTCCAAGAAGAAGAGCAAGAAAAGAGGGAAATATTGGGTATTCCGGCAAATGAACACGAGCAGTTTGTCCCTGGAGAGCAGAGCGAGAAAGATCTGGCAGAATGGCAAATGATAGATGATGTGGAAATTCCAGATCTTCCAGCCAAGGAGCAAGAGAGGAGAGCCTGGAGAGCCATCCCGCAAAGAGTAGGCTTCACAGGCAGTTCGGGCATGCCGCGCCACGTACCTTGGAAGGACTGTTGAAGTCTGCCAAGATTGCCAAGGTCTACATCGACGCTGTTAAGCTACACAGATGCCCTGATTGCGAGAACACTGCACCAAAACGGCCAACACACAAGACAAGCGTGCCAAACAAGTACCGCTTCAACCACACATTGGGCATTGACCTCTTTGAGGTTGCAGATGCAGCAGGAGACAAGTTCTTAGTGCTGAACATGCTCTGCGTTGGTACGACATTCCAACAGGCACAAGTCTTGAGGAAAGGACTTGGACAAGCATCAAGCGAGCAATGTTTGAAAAATGGTTTTCATGGGCTGGGCATCCTGTAGAGATCATTGCTGACCGCGGACTGCACAACAGAGGTGCGGTAGCCAGGTATGCGGCTGCGAACAACATCCAGGTGCATCATGCCCCATTGCAAACACCAGAAGCCATAGGAAGAGTGGAAAGGCATGGCGGCATCTTGAAGGCCATGTACCGAAGCGTTTTGCAGTGAGGTACAACCCGTTGGCATAGACCAAGTGGATCAAGTGATTTCACAATGCTGTCGAACAAAGAACACCTTGCACAGAATTGGTGGTTTCAGTCCATCCCAACGGGTTCTTGGAGCCTGTCCCCGAGGCGCTCCTAGCTTCATGGAAGAAGAGGCGTGGTGTGACCTCGGCGCGATAGAGGAGAGAGACGACCCAAACTCGATTTTTGCATTGCAACATCAATCTTGTATTGCTGCACAAAAGGCATTTGTAGAACTGCATTATAGCAAACGCGTCCAAAGAGCGTTGCTACGATATGCACAAGTCATCCCGGGGCGTGGGAGACATTGTGTGCTTCAGACGAAATTACATTGGCAAGACCCGCTGGAGTCCGATTGGAAAGGAATCAGACAAGAATGTGTGGGTGCTTTGCAAAAACATTCCTGTTTTGGTGGACGGATCAAACCTACGTCCAGCAAACGTGCAAGCCATGCGGAGAAAGGCTGGCTTTGATCCCGTTGCGCGCCATAAACGGGCCATGGACGTGGTACACGAGGGCGTTAAGAAGGGCCATGTGCACACGCTCAACGACCTCAGCTGTCTGGACATAGTCTACAAGACCTCCACTGTCGCGCACGACACATGCTTGGCTGACCGTCCGCAAGCGCAGGATGATGTCAAGCAGGAGCTGGCTGAACCAACGCCTAGGAAGTACCGGCTCCGCCCACGTGATCGCTATCGGCCAGGAGTTCGCCTAACGCCTGCCCCCGACGTGAAGGACGAAGAGGGCCCGATTATGCTCCGTCCGGACAGGATGAGCAGGGGTCGGGTGGCTCATCACAAGATGAAGACGAAGAGCCCTTGATGAGCCCATGGATGAGGGCGAGGAGCTCCCCCTCCGCTGCCGCCTCCGGCTCCTCCAGCACCGCCTGTCCCGGTAGAACCAGAGACACCAGTGCTACTCACCCCGGACGCCAGTCCAAGTGGGGCTGTGCCTGCTCCTCCATGCAGAAGCGCTAGGGAGAATGATCCTGCACGGCCATGAGATAGTTCCCTCAGAAGTGATTCAAGAACATGGCCAACAGGCATTTGAGGATGCAACAGGGGTTGAAGTGCCCGTTCCTGAGGATGAACAAGGTCTAGATGAGGCCGATAATCGATGAGGATGATAGTCCACCAGCACGACTGGGACTAACGCCTGTGCTAGAGACAGAGGTGCTAGACGTTGAGGAGACGAAACAAGAGAACCAAGGAAAGAAACGTGAGACCCCGTCTAGCCAGCACAATTGAACCAGATCCTGAGAGAGGGACAAGTGTCAGATGCATCATTTGCAAATGAAGAGAATCATCATTCACAACAAGGACGAGTGCATTTTCTGGTGCCCGGAAATCAGGCGAGGAGTCCAAATTGCACTGTGTTTGATGTACTGCCATTGTCATTTTCATCAAGTACCATCAAGAGAGTCTGCAGAGCAACAATGCAAGCAGAGACATACGCGCTTCAAGCAGGGCTAGAGAACGCAGATAGACTGCGAGCTCTGATATGCGAGACACAAGGAAGGCTGCGTGGACTAAGCGCATGGGAGGAAGACGTCAGACAGAACGTGCCTCACGTGATGCTGTCGGATTGCAGACCCTTGGTAAGCTATTTGAAGGCTGAGGTACCACCGAAGATTGCAGACAAGCGACTCAGCATTGAGATCGCGGCGGTACGGCAGTCACTTCGGACGCCTGAAGGCCGGAAGGCATCAGAAATGCACAAGAAAGGGGGAGACCGAGTGAGGTGTGGATTAGTACAGCAACCATGGTAGCTGACAGTCTCACCAAGGCAACGAAAGCTGACCTTTTGCTGAAGGTCATGGACATGGGCAAATACGTGGTTGAAATTGACCCTAATGAGAAACCATGCAAAGCCGGATCGACAATAAGCCCTGCATGTACAGATGTGAAGCCAGGATGTCGATCATGGGAGCATGGATTGATGCATGCTCGGGGCCTTTTCGGATCACAGGGCCCTTGAGTCATCTGGTGCGAAAAGATGCGTGAAGCCCGCATTTGCTGAACCAGAACGCCGGACGGTTTCCTGCTGGCATCCTTCAAAACCAGCCCAAACCGGGGTCCCCACTCCCCCGCAAATTAACATGGAACCCCAAAAGGAAGTCCCCCAAAATGAGATTCCTCTACCGTGATGGGTCTTTTTCAGGTTCCATTCGTTGATTTGCGGGGTCCCTAATTTCGGCACATCCCCAGATCCAACACGCCCCTGCCGAGACATCCCTGCGGGGCAGCGCGGACCGCTGCTAGTACCCGGCCTAGGCCTGGCCCGCGATCGGAGAAGCTGCTGCATGCTAAAACCGTTCAAGGCTCCCAGCGTCCATTCTTTGAACCTAAAACAAGAGATGTTTCCATCTAATATTATTGAGAGCTGAACAAAGCCTTTCTGGCAAAGCGCCTCACGACATTGCAGTTTACCTGTGTACCCTTCTTTTCCCAGTCGAGTAAGGACTCACCCCGGCATTGCTGAGTTGGCTCAAGGCCTGCAAAATGATAAGGAGGTTAATCAAGCTTTCACTGTGGCGCGCTTCTGTTGTCCCGAATTGCCTGTTGATTTAGGCTGGGTTTAGGATTTGTTTTAGGGTTGATTTATGGTTGGTTCAGGGTTGGTATAGGGTTGGGTTAGGGTTGGTATAGGGTTGGCTTAGGGTTGGTGCAGGGTTGATTTTGGGTCGGTTTAGGGTTAGTGTAGGGTTGGTTTGGGGTGGGTTCAGAAATGCATCAACTACAAAGAAGCCTGAAAGCACCAACAAAAATGCACACGTGCCACAAACCAGGATCGAGAGTGCATGGTCTAGCACCAGCTCGCTGCGAGAAGCAGCTTGCGCCCAAAGCCTAGCCCTAAACCTACCGAAAAAACACCAAAAAACGGCACCCTCAGCGGGGGTAAGTGGGGTCTATGGGGCTCTTTAGTACCAAGTATCATATCTGATATCTAGGTCGCTTCGCTCCAGTGATCTAGTCGCCTCGGGCCCAAGGGCCTCGGCGGAATTGGAATGGATTATTGGTAAATTTGGCCAACGGAAATTGTGTGAAGCAATTTTCGGGGAAGGCCCCCCCTCATACTCTTTGCTACAGGCTGGCTCGGCGTTGGCAAAAGGGTTGGCGGATTTCTCCGATGAAGAATTGGCCGGTTTCCCCAAAACGTTTCTTTTGCAGAGTAGGCTTCGCTAAGAAATGCGAGTACCCAGGAGTTCAGGGGGGCTAAAATGGTTGACATCAAATGTACGCGTTGTTCCGTACGTTTGAGAAATTGCAGCCTTTGAACTTCTTCCACAACGTGTTCCTGCACGGTGCTTGCACTTGGTTAATTTGTTTTTGGAGAGTGTTGCTGGGGCCAATGAGAAGCAACGCGTGAGGACACAGAAGATGACATTATGACATTTTGTCATAAGTTGGTATCACAGAGCTTGCGGTGTTTCTTTGAATGGGATGGTGGTCACTGAGTTGCTCGTGCTAGTGTTTTGCGCATTGGAATCAAAAGCACGCTGCATGGCTGCATGGCCGCATGGCACTGTGTGCAGGAATGCCGGCGCACAAAATGCCAATTGCGCATCCCAGCGATTTTGGCGACAGCTATGGCTATACGGACCCAGAGCCAGGTGCCGCAGGCGGGGGCAAGCTTCTGGCAGTCTGGGGATTCATATGTCCGGGTTACCGCGGAGCCCTCTAGCCATTCGCCCTGGTCGGCTCAAAACCGATTGAACGGCTGACAGGTCCAGAAAGGAGTTGTGCTAGGCGAAAACAGAAGTTCCTGAAGGGCAGAGCTCCATGTGTCACACTGCGCCAGGCACAAGTTATCCAGCTTCGTTTTTAAACTGAACAACCGTGGGAACGTGGAACGTTTGGGTTCTTGAGGCTTCTGCGTCCCGGCATCGGCATCGGCATCGGCAGGTAGCTCTGCCGGTGCAAGAGGTGCTCCTGGTCTTGTAGGCATGCTGCCTTGCAGACTCTGAGTATGACTTGCGGCCTTTGCGCACGGAGTGCAGATGAGCGACATTGAGCGACATAACGGTGTATCTGTTCAGAAAATAGGCCGTCCCCTATGTACTGCTGCCCAACTGGTGGCATTTCTAAACATACGCAACAGTTGTCTTTAGGAAGGCAATCCGGGCGCAAATGTTCGACCTGACCCAAGAAACGAAACGCTTCAACACCATAGCTTCAGTTCACTTGAGCAGCGTTTGTTTATGTTTGTTTTAACCGTGTATGCGTTTAGTATTCGGAGGAAACTCCTTACATGCCGCGGAGGCTCCGCATAGGCATTTCTGGTGGGGAGCAGGGCTCGCGTAAGCAGCGCGCGTAGCCTGCCTCAACAAGAGTCCGCGTACGCAGGCCGCGTAGGCAATGTAACATCATTGCTTGCACAGCGCGTCCAAAGAATGAAGCTGAACCTGTGGCAGCCAGCTGCCCACTGTGCGCCGCCCACAGTGCCTTCGCCGTGCGCCGCCAACAGTTGCTCGAAACTTGATTCACAGTTTGCCCTTGCCCGGCTGGGTTTGCTTCCCGGAATCCAGTTTGTCTGCGCATAGGCTCAGCGTCGGCTTCGAGGCCACTTCGTAAAGTGTTTTCTAACCGTCCGTTCATTGCGCAAGTCTGCTTGCGGCCCAAAGATTGGCATGCGTGTTTATTCCTGGCCTGCTATGAAGGCTGCGAAGAATGCACTGTGGACAGTTTCCTCAGACGAGCGGAGGCGAGGCCGCGCAAAGGTACTGCTAAGACACGGTGCCAAAAATCAGCTCTGAAGGTCTTCGCGTTGTCAAGCACTGCTTCCGCCTCAAGTTCTGTTCTAGTTTCAGAATCCGAGATGCAGCGCTCAAGAAAAGTGTCCGTGGGCGCCCGCATAGGCGCTTGCGTAGGCACCTTCTAGCGGCGTAGGCCCGCGTAGGCACCCTCATGGGTGTTTCAACATCCGCGGAGGCGCTGGCGTATAGGCATGCTTCCAGTGTATACCCCCGTATGCCGAAAAACACCGCTCACTTGTTCAAACAAGAGCTGGAGCTAAACCTGGACGAGGGCTGGCGGTGGGACTTGTAAGTCATGTGGGTGTGTTCACGCGCACGGCGTCATTAGCTTCCAGCCTGTCGCTGCAGATATCGTCAAATGTCCTGCTGAGCACGTGTATTTTGAATGTCCAATAATATGATGTTGTAAACCAACAAAGCTAGCAGGCTTTTATATCAAGCACAAACTCCACACAGGTGTCACCGTACCTGAAACAGTTGTCCAGCCTGGCATTTCCACCAAGGAAACAGAGAACCACCAATCACGAATCTGGTGCCCATAGCACCAAGTCCAAATGGATCCAGCACGCCCTGCCAGATAGGCGCATATGTACGCCTGACACAGGTCCTCAATGCAGGTGCCTTTTATAAATATGTCGCAGTTGTCATGCTAGGTCAGAACAACATGTGTAAGACGGATGTTAGTGACACACGTGTTTGGACAGGGTATCATTTCTTGGCCTCTTCCAATCGTTTTCTGACAGACACACACACACACAGGTGTGTTTGGATGGAGCATCCTGACATACATTAATTATGTATACATGTATATACACATCAGGATTTAATACGTGTATTGTATATATATACACATTATGTAGGTATAAGTACACATGTGGTATGCCCCTGGGACCGAGGTACTGAGCTGATTCACTGGTACTTGTTGTGTGCGTGTTTGTGCACACATTATGCCAGCCATGAGCGGAAACCGTGCAAACATTAGAAGGATTGAGTTTGCGTCATGACTAGTTGCATTTGCCGAGTCTTAGGACTGAACATTTCTAACTGGCTCTATTGATTATCCCTGAATTCGTGTGCATAGGGACCTTGCACATGTGCAGAAGGTCTGTTCAACTTAAAGATAGTGTTGATAGGGTAACCTTTGCACATTGTGCGTTCTGCATAGTACTGTATTGTTTGGTAAAAGCACCCTTGGCAATGTTGCAATGGTATCTCCAAATTGCAGAACTTTCCATTTGGTACATAACCCCTTGCAAGCAGGAATAATGTTCGAACTTAAGGCTTCAAAGGGTATCCTGCAACCAGTCAGAGTGATTTGACACTTAAAGGGTATCCCTTGCAGTTTGTCCGGAACACTTTGCAAGAGAGTGCGCTTTGCAATAAGGACGGTTTTGGGCTTTGTCGACATTGGCTTCAGGTTCAGCTCTTGGCAATGGGGATCCCCGTCCCCCAGCACTTTGCAGGAAGTTTTCCCGGTTGCCAGCCCTTCAACATGTGTCCCCTATCAGTTTTGGTGTATTTCTCTCCAAGTTCACGCCTTCATCGCATCCAATCAAAAGCAGAACACATGTGCACATGTATGTGTATTAACATGTATATAGACTGTCAATATGGACTTCAACAGCTCCAGATGCACAAGTCACAATTAGCTCTTCCTTTGGTGCTGCACATGCTATCGGCGAAGGGCCGTTCTGCTGAATGCGTTTGTATCGGGGGTCCTGTAAACCTTTGTTGGGCTGGAGTGCCGTTCCTCGAAAGTGAGGTGACGTCACGGCATGATAGATAAGATAGGCATGCCTTTCCTTTTGTTTCCCTTTAAACCAACGGGTTCCAAAACGGGCCTTGCGTTTAGAGCAACCCTCACCTAAGGTTTGTTGGGCGTGATCCATTCACCCGGGCTTTCCCATGGCCAGTCTTCGACTCGGAGCAGCTCCCAGAGCCACTGCAGCGACTTGCGGCGGATGACCAGATTCTGGCGCCGCATGCGCGACAGGAAGGCCATGGGCCAGCGCGGGGTATCGAAACTAGGGACCTGGGTTTGGGCTGGTTGCTGGTTGTGTTGGCAAGTTAGAGGTGGGGATTCGGATGTGTGCAAATCAAAAGGACCCTGTGGGGACATGTGGGGACCTGTGACCTTTGTGAGTCGACCCTTTGTTCCCAAGGAAGATGGGAGGGACATGTCGGTCCAGAAACAAAAGCGACCGAGAGCCCGGAGAGCCCGGTCTGACGGCCGAGATTGCGCTCCTGGGATACCCATAAGATCCAAATAAGCAACTGCACTTCAGCCAGGGGTCAATTCATTTCCCACCCAAACATTGCACCATTTACGGGAACCCCGTTGACACGGCCGTGGAACTGCAATGGTTGATCCTTCCAAAAAGGGGAAATATCACCGGACCCCTGTCTCAGCGATGGCTTGCCGTTCCAGGCTCGAAGGTGTGGAATACCAGCATCACTCACACACAGCGTCTAGCAGACCCCAAATGGCGATGGTTTCAGCACGGTGGCTTTGGCCAAAATAGACAGGCCAATGTGGGCCTGCTTTCCTTTTAGTGGTTTCTTTTGGGGTGACCTTGGGGCGACCCCTCTATTGTTCAACCAACCAATGGAAAAAGGACAATGCCGGACGGTTTCCTGCTGGCATCCTTCAAAACCAGCCCAAACCGGGGTCCCCGCTCCCCCGCAAATTAACATGGAACCCCAAAAGGAAGTCCCCCAAAAAGTGATTCCTCTACCGTGATGGGTCTTTTTCAGGTTCCATTTGTTGATTTGTGGGGCCCCTAATTTCGGCACATCCCCAGATCCAACACGCCCCTGCCGAGACATCCCTGCGGGGCAGCGCGGACCGATGCTAGTACCCGGCCTAGGCCTGGCCCGCGATCGGAGAAGCTGCGGTGTGCTAAACCCGTTCAAGGCTCCCAGCGTCCATTCTTTGAACCTAAAACAAGACATGTTTCCATCTAATATTACTGAGAGCTGAACAAAGCCTTTCTGGCAAAGCGCCTCACGACATTGCAGTTTACCTGTGTACCCTTCTTTTCCCAGTCAAGTAAGGACTCACCCCGGCATTGCTGAGTTGGCCCAAGGCCTGCAAAATGATAAGGAGGTTAATCAAGCTTTCACTGTGGCGCGCTTCTGTTGTCCCGAATTGCCTGAGTAGCCTGGGCATGAACACCATCTAAGGTGGGATACTTGAGGCGTCCTCAACCGACAGCAACATTACAATGGGGAACGATGTGCTTGTTGGAAAAAGGCGCTTGTTGGGCACGACAACTATTACTGGCTTCACCCACAAGCTTTCGTCCATGTAAATTGCCGACTTGCCAACGAGGCCCTTCAGTCCTCACGGCAAACAGTCCTGACTTGAGCGAGGGCAATTCACTAGGGTGTCCGCTCACACAGCGCCTGCAGACAGCCTTCTCTATAGATAACACAACTTCTTTCTAGCAATTCATGTTTGATGATCCCTATACAGCCAAAGCCTTTCAAAGAACGCGGAGGAAAAGCAACGATTAAGCATGAGAGGCTGCACGCATGACACTGTCTTCATATACCTCACGACAAGGGTCTTCGATGTCTTCAGAAAGGATGGCGGGATGGATATTCATGGATATTCACTTGATAGACAGAATCCTTGGACATATTTAGGTGAAGTGGTATGATGATCAAATGATGTCTAGCTTGTGTGACAACTATGTGAGCAATGAAACTCCATACTGTAGATGGGCCAAAGGTGGATAAGGCTACAACGATAGCGCTTGGACACTAACAAAGATAAATGATGACCGTAAGTGATGATTGACGGACGCATATGCATACATATACAAACATTCACACATATATATACATGGTTCCCCCCCTCCCAAAGAAGGTCCCCCCCTCCCTAAGAAGGTCTACCATTTATAGTCATGTTTGGGAAGGGATTGAACTCACTTTCTGGTGCTTAGGAGTTTTGAAGCAAACAACCCGAAGTACTTCGAAGTACTTCGCTTCTGGATTCAAGCTTCAAGGGTGCCAGCCACTCCTGAAATGAGTCTTGAAGCCATTTCCTGGTGCTTAAGATGTTAAAGGCAAAAACCTAGAAGTACTTCGAAGTACTTCGCCCCTAGGTTCAAGATTCAAGGGTGCCAGCCACTCCTGAGATGAATCTGGAATCATGAAATGAATATTGAATCTAGCTTCGGTTGGTTTAGGGTTGGTTTAGGGTTGATTTTGGCTGGGTTTAGGATTTGTTTTAGGGTTGATTTATGGTTGGTTCAGGGTTGGTATAGGGTTGGTTTAGGGTTGGTATAGGGTTGGTTTAGGGTTGGTTTGGGGTTGGTGCAGGGTTGATTTTGGGTGGTTAGTATAGGGTTGGTTTGGGGTGGGTTCAGGGCGGGTTTA